TATCAAAACATTCAATTTCCTAAAATGGGTACAAATCAGTAATTTGTTTATACTATGTAGTTCCTGCTTTTTAGTATGGAAATTATTTAGATCGCGTATTAAATAAGTTCACCTTTGTTGCTTTGTTTAGACAAAACAAAATATAACCTTTCGAATCAATATGGAGATTAACAGGAATAGGCACCCAAGAAACAGAAATACTTTCAAATGTCTTAGTGCCAACTGTAAACAATTATATTACCAGAGGTTTAGTATTTTCTTGTGGCCATCTTAACGCCCATGTACCTTTTATCAAATTTTTTGACACAACATTTGGTTTCAGCGTGGAAGTATGAACAATTGACTTTGCATTTAGCCATAGCGAATTCATGAATTCACCTCATCTAGTCGTTTTCCAAACTCTGAAAATAAAACATCTATCCAGTTTGTAATTTGCAAAAAAGCATTTCGAGAAGAGAGCCTCTTTCGATGACTCTAGCAAATACGACATGAGTACAAAGCACAACTCAAAGACTTTAGTAAATTGCCCTACGTGAAAAACCATGCTGTTCTAACTATTATGTTCTCAGTGTGCGGATGACAGTCATCTTCATGTTTTCGTCCAATTTAGTAATATAGTTTGTCCAAAAATAAAGAGTAGATTAAAACTAAAAAGATAGAGTAGATTTTCAATACCAGTAGGATGATGTCTCATACCTCAAATCAGTAGGGTTTCATCTAATGCACCAACTATATAGACCGCATAGTGATTTTCTACAAAAGAATATAGTAACAAGTTTCGCATATAAGCAAGAGTAAGAATGACAGTAATGTGGATTAAAAGCAAATATTTTTTGTTTATTTGTTTTTCCGTTCTCCTAGCAAATATTGAAGCGTCATATTTAGCTCAAACAGCGTGCATACAAAACTTTTTCTTTTATGCGCTACTAAATATTAGGAAACATACAAATATGTACAGCTAAAATTAAATAAATAGCACAATATAGTTAAATAGGTTGAAAAAACTTCAGTTCACTGAATTTTTTCTTTTTTTTTTACACTGATTTTTTTTTCAAAACAGCTAAAGTCCGTGTATAAGCATATCAGCCAATCAACTCTTAACGGAATCTCTACCAAGATACAGTTTAAATCTCATCTGCTAATTTGAAGGTCCAATAATCTTTTAATATGTTCTTCTAACTAATTATGTATTATATAGGTAAAAATTTAAATAAAACTCAATTATATTCCATGCTTTATTCTCTGAGTTCCAACCAATGAAAATAAAGGATAAGCTAGGACTAACCTCAGTCCTAGCTTTTAGTCCCAGCGTATCTTAACCGATTTTCTCTTGACTTAAGTCTAGGGTGCGCAAAATACGGAATAATGACTGTCAGATATTCTATGGATAAGCGAATCACAAGAGAGAAAAGTAGAAAATTATTTTTTACACAAGTGAGAAAATATTCAAAGAGATGCCTAAAAAAATAATTACTGATGCAGAAAGAAAAAAAACTAAACAAACGCTTCTGCAGCTGGGGTACAGATGTCGCCATAATCAGTGTATTTCGATAACACAAAAAAAGTCATGTACGGATAATAAAACTTACAGAATATAGATAGTCTATCATAGCAAATCGATCAGAAATACTTGCAGCCTCCCTTCGGATCTTCTGTGGATGTTCAGAAAACGCTTTAGCTTTATATTATATTATTACATCCATTCAGGTCCGCTCAGTTTTTACAGACAAGAGGAACCGCAAAAATTTCAACACTCGTGCCGTATAGAGCACAAAAAAGTTACATAGAATCCCATATTTGTTCGCTAAAAAAGCTATATTCTACATGCCTGTCCAGGAAAATCAAGTGTTGATCTCTTTTATAATGAAGCAACTTTGACCTTGTTTTTCTCTACATCCATAGAGTTAACATCGACGTTTAATATACCATACGAAGGAGCAGCTCGAGTAGTATAAGTGCTGATACTCAAAACTTATCTTACTACATTTACGAGCTCAGGCCAACTGTCACAAAATGACCGAAAATGAAAAAACGGCACTTACCCAGGTCGACGAAAACTGGCATTTAATTGTCTATTAACAGCCTATTAACTGTATGCCAACAAATAGCCTGTTAATTGTGTAAAAATCGAATAAAAATTGGCATTTAACAGCCATTACACATATAGAATCTAATCTGACGATAAATAATTTAATATTTCAAAAGGTACTCCAGAGTCGGGCACTTTCAATGCGTCCCATTCATTTTGTCTCCAAATGTGCCCTGGGGCACTTGTTTTTTTACAATGCGGTGATGTATGAATTGCTCAACTGTCACAATGTTCATTTATTAGAGAGATAGTATATCATTTTTATCAATAAACAAGTTAATGTACTGGATATTTATACAAAAAAATGAGATAATGCTGGTTGTACAATACAAAATATTTGAAATGAATACAAACCAAGAGAAGAGAAAATATTTAACACTATGCGCACACTTCGTTCTTAAGTATGATTAAGTGTAGTGTGATCGCACGAAGCATGATAAAATATATACATAATCATCAAATTTTAAGATTAAAATGCCGGTGATAGTATTGCGACGTCGTTTCGTGTCTTGTTTTCCCATTCCTACAAAAACAATTTCAGTGTGGCACTGCCAGTGTTGATATTGTCAAACAATTTACAATGGGGAAGAAAACAGCGGATATTTCATAGCTTGAACCATATTTTTTTCTCTTTTGTTTTTCTCTATGAATACTTTTCTTTGTTTAACGTGCAATAAAGTAACAGGGTTCATTCTTTATTTAGAAAAATCAGCAAATCTTAACCTAATTCTTGTATTTATTTGTTGTTCTTCTATTATGATTAAAGTAGTCACACTGTTTACTCATCATGATAAAAAAAATATATGCAGTCATGCTACAAAATTGTTAATTAGGACCACAGACGTAGTGTGACCGTAGTGTAAACGAAAAAATGCAAAGTTAGTAGATTTTGGGATGAAATAGCACGATGGATCATTTTTCACAATTAAGCTAGATTAATTAGCTAGATAACCGTTATATTAGCTAGATTAATTTCTTGATTTAAATCACAAAATCATTTTAAAATGTGTGACAATCATTCTATGATCACTTAACGCTTTCGTTGTCAAACCATTTAAATCCCATTTTCGATCCCATTTCTGTTCATTTGACCCGTGTGGTATCAAATAACTAGTAATTGGTTTAAATTTAACAAACTTTTGATCAACTGTACTAAAATTTCGATAGAAAATAAAATCAACTCCTAGAGCTGTTCCTAAATGTGTTAAGTGAGTAACATTTGGTTCTTTATTATTTAGTTCTTTATATGAACTTATATAATGTTGATCATTCGTTAAATAATCGTAAACGCTATCACCTTCTGCTGCACTATTAAAATCTCCACATAACACTACTGAACAATCTTCTAATTGATGCGTATGTTGATAATCTTTTAAATGTTTAAATAATGCTTTAATTTGTTCAAAACGTAAATTTCTATCGAATGAATTATGTGGAAATGTTAAATGTAAATTTAAGAGAAGAAAATCACTTGTCTGATTAGTGTCAATTATTGTTAAACGTAGTCTTAATAATAGTCCAACACGATTTCCAACATCGTATAATAAACAATCATGGCGATCAATTATCTCTAATTTAAAACCATTTTGTTCTTGTTTTGATATTAGAATTACTAGACCATCATCAGCATAATGTGTACGTTGACGATAAAAAAATTTATATTCTTTAGATAAATCTGATTCGTATAATTGAATAAAATCTTGATTAAACCAAAACTCTTGTAAACATAAAATGTGAGCAGATGTAGATTTTAATAATTCGATTATATGTGAATGACGTGGTTTCCACAATTTGTCATTTTCACTTTCACGATGAGATTCTGATTCTAAACGTTTATATACAGGTGCTAATATATTAAATGTGGCAACAATCAATGGTGGAATAACTATGTTTGAATTACTTGATGACATTATAGTTCGAATGAATTTCTCTAAAATACAAAAAAATAATAGTAATATGAAAAGAAACATTAACGTAATTGGAAGAAGAAATCATTCTATACAGTCTTCTTTTTGGAGAGTAGTGACTAATTTGTTTGTAGTATCTGAAATAGCTTACCATCTGTAGTCAAATTTTCAAAATATTTAAAATAGACTTTCACCGTTTTACATATTCCTCTAAACATCTGCAAATATGACCAGGTATGAAATGACAAATTACAGAAAAACACACTAATAATAGAAACTTAATGAATTCAGAAAATTGAAATAATGTTATCTTTCAATTTTTATTTATTTATGTCGAACATATACAAGAGCAGCAGTATATAAAAATAAGACACGAAATAACTAACTTTCTTGTATTCGTATGGCTATTGGTTCCGTTAATAAGTTGAGAAATGAAAAATGAGAAAAAAATTTATAAATTATGACTACAGATGCACACACAATAGTAGAACATATTAAAGTCTAAACACATTTTGATAAATATCTTAAATTAATCATTGTAATATTGTCGTCTAATGATGAATTTTCATGTAATTTAACGACACCATCTTGATAATCCACACTTAGTAAATCGCCCGATGCACCTTTATAATCACCACCAATTACATACACCTGAAAATAGAATATAAATAAAATAAGTGTTATATTCTAACGTAGGAAAACAAAGCAAATTCAAACAATTTTGAAAAATTTCAGAAATTATAGTGAACATTTTTACGAGATTGAAAACGATTCAGCGTATTTCTGTTAGACAAAATACGTAAAAAATAACAAATAAAAGTGTTCATTTGATAGCTAAAGGCACGAGATGCTTTTACATTCATTTTATAGTATTTAGTAGAGTGAGAAATGGAAAACATTTCATAATTAATATGCACGAAACGATCAGTGTAATAAACATACTTTATCATTTGGTTTTGGTACTACAGGTTCAATACGATCTAACTGAATTGCCACCTTTTTATCGAATTTTTCAACATGAATTGTACAAATATTACCCTAAACAAAAGATAATAATGATTACTAGCATGTTCATCTTAAACAAAGAGTGATAAGATTTAAAAGCAATAAAAAAAAAAAAAACTTTTTAATATTTTATTCTCAATGATTTTAATATTTTAACTATTTTAATCTAATCTATAAATAAAAAAGTGTTTTATTTTTTTACTTACATTTATACTTTGTATGACACCGGTTGAACCAGCCATGATGTCATCAGATTGATCTTTAAAGCGAACAACTAAACCTTCTGTATGCCAATCATTTGAAGATGAATCATAATCTAAAATGAAAGAATAAAAAAAATTTTAAAAGAAATTATATAAGCATATTTTTTTTCTTGATAGTATACCAACTCCAGTTGGCATTGGTGTATATTGAGCACTTGGTGTCACTGGTGTCATATTTACAGAAGGAGAGTAAACATAATTTGCTGGTGATTGATCAGGAGCACGATAAGAATCAGAACCGGGTGTTGGTATATGACTACTGTACGCTAAAATGATAAAGAAAAAATAGAAAATATTTGAAGATTTCGATGACTATTTCTTACGTTGATAATCAATTCCTGGTGATGCTGTTGTATGTTGGCTATAAGGTGAAAAAGTATTTTGATTTAAAGATGATGCACTAGCAGCGCTTGTTGATGGTATATTTGAATCAATATGAGAGTAGCTTGGAGTGGTTGGATTTAAATTTTGATATGGACTAGGTTCATCATCATCATAATCAACTCTAAAATTTAAGAAATGAATGATAGTTACAACTCGTAAATCATGTAGACAATATTATTTTTTAGTTCAATAGGCTTTTCGTGTGATTTATATTTGTCTTCACCTTGGTGTAGCTCCATAACTTGGATCCCAAGCTGACGCTCCTCCGCCACCAGCCGGTGTCATACTGCCCTCATGTCTTGGTGTCATATTTCCGTAATGTGGTGTTCGACTTCCATCATAATGAGGTGTGCCACTACCAACCATTGGCGTTCGAGATCCATATAATGGTGTTTGCGCTCCAAATGCATTATAACCAGGAGTTTGAGATCCATGTAAAGGAGTTGCTGTTTGAGATGATGAAGCATCACCAGAATCTGGTGCTAAACTAAAAATATACAAAACAATAAATAAGAAACTTCATTAGAAGACATAAAAACCGATATAAACGAATCATAATACATACACAATAATACGATTTTTATCGACTGTTATTGTTTGACATTTTGCATGTAATTCAATTTTACATGTTGATTCAGTAGCATCTTTAACTATTCCAACATAGCCTAAAAATTCAAAGTAGCATACTTTATTTTTTAGACATATAACTCACATTTGTTACCAACCTTTATACGGTCCTTGTTTAATTCTAACAGTTTTTCCAATTAATTGTGTATCTCGTCTAACATTAACTGTCGAATTAAATGGTTTTCCAGCAGGTGTACGATTTCCAAGTCCTGATGAGCCTCCACCATTTGTACTATGTGTACTACCAATTGCACCATGAACACTTGTTCCAGCACTACCATTATGCGGAGAAGGACTACTGGCAATTCTCGGTGACATATAACCGGATGCCATAATGGGAAATGTGGACACCTGTTAAAGTATGAAACTCAGTAAGAAAAGTAAATAAATAAATAAATACCGACTTACTTTAGCTCCACCGGCTAATGATAAATTTTTTGCCTTACAAACAAACAAACCACCATTTTCTGTTAACGTACGGCAGAATATGAATATAAAATGGCGAAATATATGTTTGATTTGGCCTTGACGATTCTAAACACATTAAACGAGACCTTAAGCAACCTTTTTAGCTGCTGAAAATCAAACATGCATACAGCATTGGGTCCATCAATAACATTAACAATATCGCCAACATTTAGATTATTATTTAAACTATCCAATGCCATAGCATTTTTATTAAATCGACGTTTTGTTACAGATTGGATGGGAACAATTTGAACTTTAGCGTCCATATTTAATACATGTAAACGTTCTTTCTCAACACGAATAACAATACCAACTTTATCAGGACTAAATACACGTTCACATACATTGAATCATTTAAAACAAGTAAAAGCATTTATCATGATATTCACCTTAAATTGACTAAATCACGTAATTGAAATTGACCAGTTGAATCAACACCAGATGATGTTTCTTTACAAATCTGTAAATCCGAACAACGAACGGGCATCTAAAATAAACCGATTATTCAGAAATTTGTTTGTTCAAATTCAGTGAATAGTGGCACAATTTCACGAGCTTTAGCCGTAATTTCAAAAAACTTCTCTATAGAGACGAAACTTAACTAATTTCATATTCTTACTTCATCTTTTGTTCCATCTGACAGAACAATTGCTTTAAGTCCTTCAATGCCAACTATCATTCCCGTATCACCTTCAAATCGTCCACGTAATACTTTCACATGATTACCAACAGAAAAATATTTTCGTAATTCATTTGCTTTAAATGGAATTTCATCCTAAAAAGTTGAAAATAATAAATATATACAGAGTTGCCATCTTTTTCGCTTTCTGAACTTTTTCCCACGCTTCTCATCCATTTTTTAGGTTTTTCTTCACCGTTTCTATTTTCCTTTCTTGATTGAATGCAATCACTTTTGATAAACTTTATTTTCTATTAGTACATTTATAAAGTGAATGATTGAGTGAATGAATTTATTCACATAAAACGAATCATCACACTTTCTGAATCTGCTAATTTGAAAATGCATCTTTATTGCAACTAATAGGTTTTTCCATTACAAGCGCATCCAAAGGAAAAAAAAATTTCCGTTTTTTTCCCCTTTTCGAACTTCTAAAAGTGGCAACTTGAATCTATAACAAGATGTGAGAAAATTTTCTCACTTTTAACGCTTCATGTTTCGGCAATATTCGAATTTGATCACCATCAACACCAATAACTGTTCCTTGCAAATTAATTAATTCACCTTCGCTAACTTCGACTGCATCACCAGGAGCAAACGATTGTGAATCACTCATCGACGATTTATTCTTGCTAACAATAACTGGAAATAAATATGAAAGAAAGATATATGAAATTTAAACAGAATATGTGAATTATAGAACATTCACCGTTACTATCTGGACCATCGATAGATTCTTCAAATTTTTCTAATTCAGATATTGTCGGTGTGATACCATCAGCTTGCTGAAGAAATGAAATAAATAAATATTTAATTAAAGATTATTTTTTGATAACAATAAAAAAGACACATACCACAGCAAGTAGTGGAAATGTCTTAATTAAAAATCCTTTTTCATTATATTTTCCCCCTTCAAATACACGATATTCTCCAAATCGTTTAACTTCACCTCCAAGTGGTCTAAACGATAAAAAGAGAACAAAATGTTCAAACTATGAAGATACTAATCTATATGTCGATTTTTTAATCGATTTTTTGATTAGAGTTAAAAATTGAATTTGTTTTTCTTACTTGACAGCATCTTCATCAAACAATTTTGCTGCTGATCGTTTGAATGAAAATCGATTTTTCTTTTTCATATTTGGATTCGTCCGTTCATCACCAGTTTCTTTTAATAGGCCACGTTTTTTTGTATAATCAATACGTGGTATTAATTTTACCGTTACATTATTTTGTGCCATATCACATTCTTTAACTTTTGCCAAATCATCACGATACATACCACGTTTAATTCGTATCCATGAACCAACTTTAATACCATAACTAATTTTAAGTACTCTCAATATATCGGGCATACCACGAATAGGTACCATTTGTAAATTAGTCGTATGTAAAGATTTAATATCATCACATGCCTGTTTAACATGATTTGATTTAAATGCTTCAACATATACATAGCCACGATCACCTTCTTTAACTACAACACTTTTAATTTGAAGTGCCTAATAGAAAAAGAAAAAAAACATATTATTTCTGAGCAAACACTATAAACAAAGAATTATATTTACATTATCGCTAGATTCTAATGCAAGAAATTTTCTCATTAATAATAATGCTGTTAGTTTTTCTTCGCCAATACGACATTTAACTGGCCATAAATTAGGCGATCTATAAATGATAATTAAATAAAGAATTTCTTTTTTTTTATGTTAAGAAGTGAATATTATACACTCTGTTAATACATACTTGACATCGGGCAATAAACTTTGTTGTGTTATTTCATCTGGTACATTTTCATCTTCATCTATGTCATCGTCATCACGTATTCGATTTTTATTTCCATATTTATCCGTTATATATTTTTCAATTTTTTCAACATCATCACTAAAAATATAACAAAAGAAAATTTAAAATTTAAAAAAGTTGACAGTCGGATTTTCTTTACATACGTTCCAAAAAGGGATGTTGTAGTTCTTGTTGTTCGATATAGATCTCGCGCTGAATCATCAATTTCATTTTGTTCATGAAGAAAAAGATCTTCAAAACCTTCTTCAGCGAGATCCTCCTCGTCTTCTTCCTCTTTATCAACATCTAAAAGAAATTTTGTTTAAGTATTCAATTAGTTTTTACTTCCGTCAGCAAAAAAAAAATAAAAAAATTATCCTAATGAAAGAAGAAAGAAAATGCTATTTATTGTAGTTCTAATACAAACCTGCTTCTGATATAATGAATTGTTTGCCAGATATTTTCTTTCGTTTTCGTTTTGGACCTTTTTGCACTAAAAAAAAAAATAGTTTATAAGTACGGATGTGAAAGAGGAAAATTTTTTTTTAACAAAGTAACTCTGAAACTGCAAATATTCAGAGATGAACAGTGAATTTTTCTTCGTACAAACGATTTGCATAACATTAAGTTTAAATATTATTTAAACGAACCGTTTCGTTCTTCTTCTTCTTCGTCTTCGTCCTCTTCTTCATCTAAACAGAAGTCACATGCAAAATTTAACTGAAAATTTAATTAACTTAATTGATGAGGGAATCTATTTATTTTAGAGTGTAGTTGAGAAATTAAAGTTTTTCATTTATAAGTAATATTTCTGGAGCAAACTAAGCCATGCTATCAAGCATTATTGAACTGCAGACGAAATGTGTATCACCGAACTTTAAAAATACCTGTTACTTTATAGTATGCGATGGCAATGAATTAGAGAACCTGTACAGATAACGTAACCCGTCTTGCAGCTTTAACTCGTTGTTTCTATTTACCTTCATCATCTTCGTCATCATCATCCTCCTCGTCCTCTTCTTCGGTTTCATTGGTTGGTTCATCATCATTATTTTCAGTCCGCTAAAATGTTACAGAAACCAAAGGTTGTGTAGTAACGTTTTTAACTATTCTATAGAAAAAAGATAAATGGATAAACGAAAGACTTACTTTTCGTTTAGAAACCTCTGCAACTGGTGTTTCTCCATTACTATCGTCGTCCTCTTCTCCTTCTTCACGTTCATCGATTCTCTTATTAAATAAACAAAAATGATAGGGATTTATGACTTGTTATAGAGTGAAAATAGGACCTACCCCTTCGTCATCGCTCATTTTGGATGCTTATTAAATAATATTAATCTGAAAGGAAAATTTTTTTGTTAAATAATCCAACTTCCTGCATTGCCGTGTACATAATGTATTCTCCTTGCCTATGATTCTTCAAAGATGTGTTCGATTTATTATCACAAAAAAATAAAAGTAGAATAATAAACTATGCATAGGAAAAAAGAGGAAAAAACAACACTAACGCATAGTGGGCATTCAGGCGGACATTTAGCGAAAAATCGAAAGTGCTATCTTTTAGATTCAGAGAGTGTGAAATATAATTCAATTTACGGGCTATTTAATGACGTTAAAACTTTTGTATCAAGCGCTTTTTTTCAATAAAAAAAGTTACCTGCATATAGTAGCCTAGATATTAGCGATCTCGCAAAAGAATCATTTTTTATATTGAACTAAGTCAGTTGAATTTATAAAAACTACATATTCTTAATCTAGAAGCTCTTAGCTATTCACCCATGACTTAGTTTTTTGCTTAGATCCCTGGATCGAGGAGAAAACATATTTTTTTCAAAATCGATCGTGTTCCCAAATGGAATGGAATGAGGTATTCACGGACATCCACGGTCGAATCTGACTCAAAATTACACCAAAATGTCCGTCAACATGTCCTATATCTATACTGCTTGCAGCTTTTTTCATTTTTTGAATAAAAAGTTTTCCAACAAAAATTTAGGACAAAAGTCTTCCTCAGGGATTTTCAATCTAAAATTTTTTTCTTTCGATTTCGGATGTTTTAAATTAATAATAACATTTAAAACGCAATAAAGTAGTATTGAGCAAAAATAGTCTCTTTCTGAATTAATAAAATCATATGTCCGTCTGGTCTATAGAAAAATATCCTCTGTGTAACGTTCATTTCAATTGGTCTTATGAAGCAAATAAAACGATTCTGAAATGACGTTTATGTCAGATTATCGCATATTCTCTTTTTCGACGCGTATAATGAGGATACGCTCAGACATCTTTTTGTTGTTTTCTTCTTTCTCATCAGGTGAATGATGCAGAGAGACAGAAACAGGATTCGTGAGAACTAAAGCAAACATTCTATTTTTGTAACAGATCAGGTTTTTAAGTATAAGCTCTGGAACAAATAAATTGTTTATTCATAGAACGAAAAAAGAAAGAATATGGCAATGTTTCAGATAATTAGGTACAAACTAGAAATAGGACACTAATTACGCTACGTACAAATTGGAAAGTCGATTACTTATTTGGTATAAAGTATTACCTGTACAATTATTTGTCTCAACTTCACTATTATTCTACTAGTTTGTTTGTTTGTTTCTGTCTAAGACTACAAGAGTTACATTTGGAAAAAACAAGATGTGAACCAGTACACTTTACGTTTTTTAGCTGTTCAAATATTCACATTAGAAGATCAGTGAACGAGATGCACACCATTGCACACAGATTAGATATAATTTAATTTTTTAACTCATTTTTAATCTCGGATCGCTTGCAAGTGACAACAATGCTGGAATTTTGTTGTTGAAAAAATGTGAGCTTTTTTTCTCTCTAGAAGCAGGAAATTATCGATGTGTCGTTGCTTTTTGAACAAACTCATAGGAACAGATCTTCGAAAGTTTCATGCTTGATTACTATGCATTTATCGTCCCACAATCTGTACGTTTCACGAAGAAAATCAGAGTGTATCAATACGATCGCAATAAAATTCAAAGCATTAGAAAAGCTGAAATTCACATGGCCCACTTTGCAATTAGAAGATTATGAAACATTTCAGTCTGATATTCACTCACAGCAATGTAACACACTCCATGAAGCGCAATTTCTCATCAAAAACATTGTTTCAGACGTTCTTAGTTTCCTTACACGAAGCCAGGATTCTAATGAGAATCTGCCAGAAAACGTACATATACGCTTTGTAAGTAACCGCAGAGCGTACGTGTACGCTTTGGAATTACATAGAAACTGTAAAAAGCGTATAAAGTCATAAAATATGCCTATTATAACAAAGAAGCAAAAAAAAGGTTGTTATTCATTATTCTTTTTTAATAAATCAAATTCAAATACAAAAAAAGAAAACTTCATACAAAAACCAAGTAACAAAACAAACACAGACTAGTCACAATTACTCCAGATGGAATTATCTATTTACTCACATATTCTATCTGACATTAATGAACAAAAAGTGAAGGAATAATAAATGAAAAATCTTTAAACTCGTCTTGATTAATTGCTTTGACAATAACAGATTCAAATGGTGTAAATGCAACAGCCAAATTTGTAATTCACATCCCGAGGATCTCGTAATCACAGCAATCTGAAAGTTTCTGCTAATATAGCTCGAATTAAAAATACATACCACTTTTGGTTTAAATGGTAGTTTCACTTGACGATGTTTAAGTGTTTTCCAAGCAATTTTTTCTGAAAAAATACATGACGTTTAATAGCATCTTCCCCATCTTGTGCAGCGACACAACCCAGTCGTTTTGCCGGATTTTTTGGCATAAACTAAATTAAACAGAACAAAAATAGAAAAATAGTTTATTTCAATAGATTCATCCTTTTACTAACGTACCGATTTCAGAATATGAACAGCTTCTTTTGATAACCATACAGGATAAAGCATCACGTAGTATTGATTCAAATAAACTGTCTTCATCATCGACTTCAAATGGTGGTTGACCAGTCATCATTTCATACATACGCACACCTGTTTTCAACATGAAGAATTTAGTACGCTTTTTCTAGTAGAAAAAAACAAGCTTTACTTACCAAGTCATCAATCAACAGAAAACGATCTTGCAAGATTTCTAGTGCAATGTAATCAGGTGTTTCACTGAATGTTGACGTTAACTTTCCATTAAATACGCCTTCCTTACACATGCCAAAACTAGACGAAAAAACGAACAAATCTTTAACAACGTTCGAAGCTTTATATAGTCTAAAACACAACATAGATAACTTCAACTGCTAACACGTGAGAACAAGAAATTCTACGATTTAATTAATATGATATACCATTAAGACTTACTCAGCTATTTTACAGTGACCTTCGGCATCGAGAAGAATGTTACCCAACAAACAATTGTCGAAGATGTTGTAACTGGTGATGCCGATGATGGTTTGAAAATAAAATTATCGAGTGTTTTAAACGGCTTTTTCGGTCTTTTCACGTTCATTTTCTATCTAAAAATAGATTGCTTAATAGTAAATGGTCAAATGCTATTCTTTTTCTTTAAATCCTTACAAAACTCAAAGCGTATTTTTTTCCCCAGAATCAAGCACGAAGCATATATCAGAGCGTATTTTCAATTTAGTTCGGGTACCATAAGCTTTGAAACAAAGGCGTACGCGTAGTGTTAGAAACACTGCGCGAAGGAAGGGTCTAGAAGAGTACAATTTCTGTTGGTGAGTGTCATCCTGTCTGTAAAATCTGATTGATCATTTCTGTCAGCAAATAATGAAATAGAAGTGTTGTCGCCTGTTGAGAGGAAGAAGATAAAGCATATAGCGTTCGAATAGGCAAAAATACTTATATATCTAACAATAACTCCTTCATATTTTTGTCACATTCTGTGTCCTTATAGAGATGGAAACAAAAACAACGCAATGGGGTCAGGATACGCCAGGACTAAAAGCTAGGCCTAAGTCGCTAGTGTGATTATGAGTTTACGTTGATTGTGGCAACTTAGGCCTAACTTTCAGTCCTAGCATATCGTGACCCACAATGGAAAGTTTTTTCCTGAATCTTCAGTGACTCACTTATTGATATGATGACATATACCCTTAATAATGTTGAGAAGAAAGTGGAAAAAAATTGAGAAAAGAACTTGAATCTGTTTCCAAATATCGATATAATAGAATTTAGCTTGAATTTTGAATTCAAATTATTGTGTATCCTTTCGTTTTTGTTTTATAGATTCAATTGGAATCAATTGCATTTGTTGCCAACACATCGACCCACATCGACAGTAGCGATTCGTCAAAAGGTTCCACTTTATCCCTCTTAGTGATATACCCAATCACAATCGAACATATTATTTGGCACTACGAACTTCAATCCACTAGAACAACTAGAGAAGCAAAGAGTGTGGACTTCAACAATCAAAATTGAATTCACGTAGTTAATAATATTTTCTGTGAACAGCACAATTTACGTTTTTTAGCTGTTCAAATGTGCACATTAGAAGATTAGTGAACGAGATGCAGACCACTGGAAACAAGGTCAAAGGTAAGTAATGCGCGTTACTGGAAAAATGAAATCTTGAATTTCTAATTTGTTCAAAACTAAATAGGTTTTATATTCTCTACGTTCAGCATTTTTGTAATAATGTTTTTTAAACATGTACTTTTGGGGTTGTAATATACTTGTCACTGATCGAAATACTTGTCTTATTGTTAAGAAGTGCTTTCTGAAAGTACTTGGCAAGTAAGGACAAGTACTTACAAGTAAATTTACTTCTTGAAAAAGACAAGTATCGGCTTCATTACGCAGACGATGTACTTGGCCCCAAGTATGTTCTCTAGGGTCAGTGTTACATAATTCTTTTTTGTCTAGTATAAGGTAGGATAGAATCAACTCTCATCTCTCTTGTGAAAAGAGTGTATAACGATGATAATAATAGACAACAGTTAATAAATACAACGAAACAGCAACTTAGAGCAAGAAATAGGAGAGATGTTAATCATGTTGAATTCCTCTGGCTGATATTTGTTGTGGAACGTGTATATCTTCATCATTGTCCATATTTATTCTCGGATAATGATCATATTTTTTCCCATTTTGTGAATGTTTAATATGACTATCATTGGATAGTATATACTGGAAATCGTGACCTATAGTGAATGAATGAGAGGCATTTTTCCGAGAAATAGTCACAATTATCTGACGATGTAATGGCGGTATTGAATCGTACAGCTCATGATTCTCTTGTCGAGATATAAGTGCATTTTGTGTTAATGTACATCGGAAATGAAAATGCACGTATTTTGTCTGCCGTTTATTCTCAACCAGTAACACGAGACCATCCCAAAACTTTTTTAGTTCATAAATAGTTATACCATCTTCTTGCTGTTGTTGGTTTTTGGGCAAATGTTTTGAATTACTGGTAGTAACTTGTTCGCCAAAGAATAAACAAAGTTTAATCAAAAATTCACGATGAATTCGAATAGGTAAGCTAATACGTTTTAAATCAATTGAACGAGAACTATGAACAGCTAAAAAACAGATTTGTAAGATTCAATGACTTAATAGCAATGAGAAAAGCATTACCAATCGTAAATTCAGTGGTATCTAATTGTTTATTATCTGGATTGAATAATAGTGGTAATATTACATATGTACCAGGTTCTAAATATCCATCTGTTGAAACAAATTTATGTTGTCCTCTATTACTAATAATTGGTATGGAATAAATTCGATAAACAGGCGTTTGTTCCATACTAACAATAGCCACACATAAACTCACTTCGCTCCGTTGAATACGTAAATTTTTACTTATTTTACGATATAACGTGATGTCTAATTCTGTGATATTTGTTAATGTTAAATAATAAGCTGAAGTTATTAAATACTACATTAATTCAATGAATTTTATAGTCTTGAACAATATATTTACCTTGCATAAGTTTTTTATTTGTTGTTATCGAGGGTGTGGCTTTTATCGGTTCACTGTGTTCGGATACTGTAGGTGATGATGAGCCTTTTTGATGTTGTTTTTGATTCTTTATTGTTGATATTTCTGGATAAAAATTAGCACTATCTCTTACTTCGTACCAGTCTGGTCTCAGTTTACATATATCAACACATTCAAAATACTTGATAAACGATGAAAATGGCATCCAAAATACACCATCTTTTTTACTGCGTTTTTCACGCAATAGTTCAGATCGTAATTCTGGATTAGTCAACCATAATGGCGAATCATCAGACCAATCACCTATAGTACAAAATAGTGAAAAATTAGAAAGATTTTTCGTAATCTGTGTTTTATCTGACTAATCAATTCAAGAATGTTTCCATGTTAGTAACAGAGGACTGATATGAAAAAATTTTTCTAGTCGCTTTTTTTGTTTTAGACATTCTTATGGTATAAAAACATTATATTGCCTATACCTACCTAGCCATCGATAAGTGCCACCCCATGGATTTCTTAAACGTAATAGTCGATGTCCATTCGCTTCCTTAATATCTTGTAAAGAGTAAGCATGGATATTTAATAGACCAAGATTTTCAAATTCTTCTTTATCTATTGAATTATTACTACACATAGCACACATGAGAAATCCTCTATCACGAGAATGTAATAATTTTCCCCATAATTTATCATAATTCACATTTTTAACATCGGGATTGTTGAATCGACCTAGAAAATAAAAACATAAAAATAATTGATTAAAACAAGATTTCAAAAACAATATTATAATTCTTACCTAAAATCACCGTTTCACATGGACTACCGGTCACCGTTGCTAGACCTACAAAATTACTAAATGTTATTATCCAGTAACAGCTCTAATCTCGTCATCATAAGATTAACGAGAGGAGGCCACCGACTGATCCCTCGCTTTTGAGCTGAAACTTAGTTGACAAAGGGTAGTCGAACATGCTGATTCCGAATATCATAATGGTTTTTGCCCGCTTTCACCTTAAAGCC